AATAATATGTGAGGTATAGCAGCTATTGATCTTTCTGTTCTCTTGTGATTTTTTCCAAACAACAATGGAACCATTTTGAAGGTATAAATATATTGGCAAAACTTAAAACATATAAACTACAGCCTGATAAATTTCAAGTGGAATAGATTATTAAAATTGTGATAGGGTAATTTACAAACTACTTCTCATCTCATTTTTTTTTATATTTAACTTTCCCTTGGAGCCTTCAAAAATCATCTTCAAGTTCCATTCTTAACCCTGTGCCTGACACTTAACAGATTATAGTCCTCTTCTTGGTTGAGGATTTCTAAATGTTCATATAAACGGAGCATCTTACTGCTTCTTCAAGAGATACATCTTTCAACTTGTTGGTGTCTCACAGACGGTTTCTCTCCACTTTACTCCTGGGAGAGCCATAGTCAACACTTCCTTATTAGAACATCATTTTTCTCTTACAGTAGCCTCAACCTGTTCACTGAACTCTCCCTTTCTTGGACACTTTGTTCTTCATAGTATCTTGACATTCTTTCATTATTCACATTCAAGATTTCTCTAGTCCTTAACTATTCCACTGGTTACTTTTCTACCAAAGTTCTGTGTAGTAGGAGAAATTTTTCTCTAATCATTGGAATATATTCATAGTTAGGCTTGGGAGTGTATTTTAAAATCTGGAAATTCAAACTAGTGTGATTATGTGGAATGTGAACATAACAGAGCCTTGGAGGAACACGTAGTATAGGGACATGAACTGGTACCTACTGCTGTGATTGATCTGAGAAGGAAAAGATTAAATCTGTTTGAGACAGGGAAATCCTTCCGGAAAAGGTGATTTTGACTGGTTTGCTTCCTAGAGACAAAGAGTACTCCACATACATGAATAGTTTGGAGAACACTGAGGTAAGCAGAAGAAAAATTTCCTAGTAAGGACATGATCCACAAGAGACTGGGAAAAATGGGATTTAGTTTAAAAGGACTTTGCTAGCCAAGATTCAGTTTACCCCCTAGACTACAGAGGGGGACCTGAAGATCATAGATTTGATGGCCAATGAAGGTTTCCAAATGGAACTTCTGCATTAGAAATTTTTACCTAGCCTCATTAAATGTATAAGATCAACTATGCATTCATGGGCAATATCAGAGTTTGTAGGAGCCATCCAAAGAGAAACTAGACAACATATCTTACTGGTGTTTATGCTTTTGAGATATTTTTTAATTGGCGGATCATGAAAATTCATCAGTGGTCAAGAGGAAGAGGCATTCGTTAAATTAGCATCAGGCTCTAATTAAAGTCAAAATATTTCAGTGTCAGTGTTGTGGCACACAGGTTTAAGCTGCAGCTTGTGACACCAACATCCCATGTTGGAGTGTCAGTTTGAGATTCAGCAGTTCCACTTCCAATCCAGCTTCCTGCTAATGCAACTAGGAAAGGAGCATATGATATTCCAGGTACTTGGATCTCTTCCACCCATGTGGGAGATGAGAATGGAACTCTGGGCTCCTGCTTTCAGCCTAGCACAGCCTTGGCTGTTGCAGGTCTTTGAGGAGTAAACTACAGAATGAAAGATAACTCTTTGTCTCTCCGACTGTCTCTCTCTGTCACTTTGCCTTTCAAATAAATTAATAAATCTTTTAAAAAATCCAAATGGGGGCCAGGATGTGGCATAGCAGGTAAAGCCACGGCATGTAGTGTCAACATCCCATATGGGCACTGGTTTGAGTCCTGGCCACGCCACTTCTGATCCAGCTCCCTGCTAATGTGCCTTGGAAAGCAGCAGAAGATGGCTCAAATACTTGGGCCCCTGTACCAATGTGGAAGACCCAGATGAAACTCCTGGCTCCTGACTTCAGCCTGGCCAAGACCTTGCCATTACAGCCATTTGGGGAGTGAACTAGTGTGGGGAGCAACTGAGACTAGACTAAGTTGCTGGAATTAAGACTTATTCTATGCATCTGCTCCCCACAATATGGTGCTGAGAGAGAGCCCAAACAACCTCTACGCAGCTGCCTCTCGCCAGTTTGACTGATAAGCTGCAGGAGCTGATCCTGCTCCTGATTGGAGGAGAGCAGCATGCTCGGCGTGTGGGCAGCAGAGTTGGGATTGGTGAAAGAGGACTATAAAGGAGGAGAGAGACAACATGCACCAGGAACATCTAAGGGGAAAATCTGAAGGAACACCTGAGCAGCCCCCGAGAGAGCCGGCCTGCGGTGTGCCACTTCTCCGCGGAAGTGGGGAAAGTGGCAGGGGGAGCCGCCCCTCCACGGAGGTGGAAGGGTCGGTAGCCAACCCGGGAAGGACCAGCAGCAAACCCGGGAAGGGCCGAGCAGACAAAAGAACAGCGCAGGGTCCTGTGTCATTCCTCTGCGAATGGGGGAGCGACAAACTAGTAGAAGGAAAAAATTCTCTCTCTCCTCTCCCCCTTCCCTTCCCCCTCCTCGTCCTCCTTCTCCTCCTCCCCTCCCCACCCCTCCCCTCTCTTTTTCCTCTTTGTAACTCTGCCTTTCAAATAAATAAATAAACCTTTAAAGTCAAAATGTTTCATAATGATCTTCAAAAAATTTCTACTTTGGATCATTATCACCCATCTAACTAGAATTTTTCAAAGCTTGGATAAAATGTGCCTTTCTAATCCCTGCTGGAAGAGCTAACAGTATAGGTCATTAGAGGACTTGAATAAACTTCAGATTCTCAAGATTTGAGATTTGGAAGAGCATTGATATGGGTACGATAGTGATTTCAGGATGAACTGTTGGTTCAAAATTCTGGAATTTCAATTTTTTTTTTTTTTGACAGGCAGAGTGGATAGTGAGAAAGAGAGACAGAGAGAAAGGTCTTCCTTTTGCCATTGGTTCACCCTCCAATGGCTGCCATGGCTGGCGCGCTGCGGCTGGTGCACTGCGCTAATCCAAAGGCAGGAGCCAGGTGCTTCTCCTGGTCTCCCATGGGGTACAGTGCCCAAGAATTTGGGCCATCCTCCATTGCACTCCCTGGCCACAGCAGAGAGCTGGCCTGGAAGAGGGGCAACCGGGAAAGAATCCGGCGCCCCAACCGGGACTAGAACCCAGTGTGCCAACACTGCTAGGTGGAAGATTAGCCTAGTGAGCCGCAGCGCCGGCCTAAATATTCTAATTACAGGAAATGGTACTTTAAATCTTTGCGATGGAGGAAAATACTCTTTTACCCTTAGGAACACATACTTCTCTCTAACAAGGTGTTGCTTCTGCCATTCTTTAAAAGTGCTCTGAGACAGTTCTGTGATTAATTGAAACTCCCTTTAAAGGAATTCATTTGGGTTTAAACTTGCATGAAAAATATATACAAATATATCTGGATATCCACAGGGTATTTTTTTAGGAACTTCCTCATTCCCCATGTATCCCAAAATCTGTAGAAGCCCAAATCCTTTATATAAAATGGTGGGGTATTCGTACATAAGTTGTGCACATCCTCCTGTATTTTTAAAATATCTCTAGATTACTTCTACTACCCATACAATATAAATGATATGTAACTATGAAGGGTCTTCAAAAATTCATGAAAATAGATATTACAGGAAAACTACGCAGAGATTTAAAAAAGTTACCCTCAATCAAGCATATTTTAATCCCACTTCCCTATGAACTTTCTGAAGTATGCTTTTAATTATATGACATTGTTTAGGAAATGATATGTAAAAATGTCTGCACGTGCTCAGTGTGCTTGCACTTTTATTTATTTATTTATTTTTGACAGGCAGAGTTAGAGAGACAGAGAGAAAGGTCTTCCTTCCGTTGGTTCACCCCCCAAATGGCCTCTACAGCCAGCACGCTGCGCCCATCCGAAGCCAGGAGCCAGGTGCTTCCTCCTGGTCTCCCGTGCGGGTGCAGGGCCCAAGCACTTGGGCCATCCTCCACTGCACTCCCAGGCCACAGCAGAGAGCTGGACTGGGACAGAATCTGGTGCCCCAACTGGGACTAGAACCCGGAGTGCCGGTGCCGGAGGCGGAAGATTAGCCTAGTGAGCCGCGGAGCCGGCCATCCTGCACTTTTTAGAATAGTATCAGTTCACAGTGCTAATAGGTTTGATCCATGAATGCAGAGTCCATGGATATGGCGAAGATATAAAGTGTCATTTCCATTAAAAAGTATAATTAGGCCGGGCGTCAGGCTCCAAAGGCTTATTCTCCCCCCAGCCGGCACCGCACCCCGGGTTCTAGTCCCGGTCGGGGTGCCTGATTCTGTCCCGGTTGCCCCTCTTCCAGGCCAGCTCTCTGCTATGCTGCAGGAGTGCAGTGGAGGATGGCCCAAGTCCTTGGGCCCTGCACCCCATGGGAGACCAGGAGAAGCACCTGGCTCCTGCTTTGGATCAGCACCGTTCGCTGGCCGCAGCGCACCAGCTGCGGTGGCCATTGGAGGGTGACCAATGGCAAAAGAAATACCTTTCTCTCTGTATCTGTCTCTCGCTGTCCACTCTACCTGTCAAAAAATAAAGAAATAAAGATATAAGACAAACATATTAGCTTCAGATGTGAAAAGCAACCTGTGTGCTTGCTCCGTGTGCAGTCAAACATTATTGGATCCGATGCTTTTCCCTCACTGGAAACCTTCCTGTATTGATACCTATACTTGTGGCATTCCCGCTTTTCTAAAATCTTCCTTTTCCTGTTCACAACTTGGCCAACCTAACTTATTCCTGATGGTCTGTTTCAAGTCAGAGCTTCCTCCTGGTGCTGACTGACCTCCTCAGATACAAAAGCAAAAATCGTTCTCCCGCTGTGCCCTTAGAGAACTTGATACATCCCCTAATCATCATCTTTACCACTGAGCTGTGTGAAGTTCTCTTGGCCTCCTATACAGACTGTTTGGTCTTACATTTGTATCCTAATCTGATAACTGCAGTGGTGAGTGGTGCCTGGTTTGTGTTAGACTCTTAACAGATGCTGGATGAGGTATAGGGCAGTATCTCTTGGATTTTGGGCATCTGACTTGTTAACGTAATATTTGTGTTACCTTTTGTCTTGCAGAGGATCAAATTCCCAGGGGCTTCCCAACCATTGACATGGGCCCACAGTTGAAGGTGGTAGAGCGTACACGCACTGCCACCATGCTTTGTGCTGCCAGTGGCAATCCGGATCCAGAAATCACTTGGTTTAAAGATTTCTTACCTGTCGACACAAGCAACAACAACGGTCGTATTAAGCAGTTACGATCAGGTAGGGTCTTGTTACGTTTCCAGTAACTCTTAGAGAATTTTGTTTAATCTTTCTCTCTCTTTATTATTTTTACTTACATTTTATTTATTCTTTATTTTTAGATATTGATTTTTCTCTCTCTTCTCTCTCTTTGTTATTTAATGTGTTGTCCCCGTCTGTGATGTCATAACCTGTTTCCTTCTATTCTTTGTGTGTTGCAGCTTCTGTTTAATCCACATCACTCACTGCTGTGACTGTATTTTCAATAATTTTTTAATTTACTGCTTTTCTGCAGTATTTGATGGATCCATTTTCTCCTCTTTCTTTCTTCTTTCTCTGTTTTCTTTTGAAACAAATTTATTTCAACATTGGACTTCATTCAGACTTGCAAGGAGTTCCAATGGTTATATCCCATTAAAAAGCAAAATGTTCATATTAAACACCAAAATGATTCAGTTTTATTAAAGTGTATTTTCTACTGTCTTTTCTACATTTGAGCTCATCAGAGTACCAAAGTTTAGTAAGTTTGGGCACATCTGCTTTCTTTTCACTAATACATAAAACACAGAAGTATTATGAGTAACCCTATGTATTTTTCAAGAAGTCCTTTACGAAGTACCAGTGAGAGGAGGGGATTTTTATTAATCCTCTTACAGTACCATGGTGAGTGAGCATTGTCTGCACATGAGCCACAGTAGTGTGCGCCCACACTGAAGGTTTTTGAGCCCTCCGGTGACTGGATCTACAGAAGTCTGCTTTTGGTGTAGACTCCAGCTTTCGCTGTTCTCTCTTTCTCTTCACCCCCGTCTCCCTCTCCCCTCCCCATCCCAAGCTTATTCCTTTGCTCTCTTTAGATTAAAAGTAGAGATAATTCTCGATTTCGTAAGTTTTAGAGTCTGTCCCTAGGTAATTTCACAGGGACTTATACTAATAAGCTGTTTGTTTTGACATTGGTAGTAATATTGCTCTAGAATTCTAAGTTGTTTAACTGCCTGTCTTCCCAGAGTTCTCAGCTTTTGACCTGTCCTGTGATGTTAAAGCGTCTTGTTAACTGCCTCTTTTGCTTGTTGTCAGCAGAACTGTGTAGATTAGCATTCTGTTATTGTAAATAAAGAATTAATTATTCACATGTAACATAGATGATTTAGTATATAAAGCTTTAACTCTGAAAAATTTGTACCAAATTATAAGGAATATAATAATATTTTTATGCTGTCTTTCTTCTCTCCGTATTTAAATCTCCAGAATCTATTGGTAAGTGCTTAGTTCTGAAGCGCACTTCACCCCCACTAATTTTCATATTCAGAATATTATTACTATTATTATTAATAAAATGCATGGCATGCATTTTACTAACTGTCAGTGTAGACACCAGATTTCTATAGTGGCGCACACGCACACCTCCACAGAACTGTTATCGTAAGAACACTGTGTAGAAAAATAAAATAGTACACATGTTCTGTCACACAAATGTAGCACAGAAAGTCAACAGTGTTTATTTCTAGTTAGCATTTAGTATTTCCTATAACAGTATATATATATGCATATCTATATATATACTTAAATAGATTAGCCAGTATTTTCTTAAACGATGTCTTTAAAAAGTATTGTGTAGTTCTTTTTTATTAAAGGATGTGAGGCCTATAAGTTATCATTCTAACCCTATGTGACCCCAGTCCTAAGAACTCAGTTGCTTCTCTGAGAAAGGCAATGCTGCCTGTTGTGGTCTTTGCCCTCTGTGGTATAATGCAACTTGCTTTTATGATCTAATAATACAATCTAATATATTCCTGTTTTGCCAGTATAGTAATTCAAGTTTCTTTTAAGACCTTATTTAATTCTGTAAATCTAATTTAATTCTTCTCCCCAGCCCTAGCCTCCTTCTTCTCGTACTAATGCTTCTTCTTTCTAATCTTATTTGCATTCATATTATCCACCCAGGTGGTACACCAATAAGAGGTAAGAGTGCTGAACTAACGTTCACAGAATGATCTTACTCATTCTTTCTGTCCTTTCATCCCTCCCATCTTTGTCCTGTTTTCAAAACCATTCCAGTAATGTCCATCAACTTGATTTTTTTTTCCTTTGTACTGTTTGGTTATGATCAGTGACTCTCATATTGTGAACTTTCCTTTTCTTTTCCTTTTCCTCTTTGTTTTGTTCATTTCTTTCTTTACGAAAATGATTATTTCACTGTGATATGCTTCAAAGAAAGCATATCCAGGTCTCTGGACCACAGACCAGTCACAGCGTACCATCTGTCCCTCTTTTTTTCTTTTCTTCTTCTTCCTTTTTCCTTTTTCTCTTTTTGTTTTTTCTTCTTTTTCCTTTTTTTTTGTCCAACTGGAGAAAAAAAAAGATCATTTTTTTCTTCCTTAGCTGTTCTTGTTCCGGACCAAAGCCAAGGTGGTCCGGAGAACAGTGGCAGACATGCAGGGGACAGCCTGGACCAGCTGCTTTTTGTCTTTATCTTTCAAAAGGTTTTTGCTTTTGTTCTTCAATGCTTTTTTCTCTTAATGTCTTAAAAGTCAAAGAATGACTCCCCTTTCCACCTGATCCCACTCGCCTGCGATCTGACAGCAATGCTTTTTTCCCACTTCTTTTTTTCTTGGATAACTCGTCTCGGGATTTTTGGATCTTCTGTCCTTCCGGCCATGGAAACGAAAGGTGCTCAGTATTCTTGGTGGTATGTGGTATTGCTGGTTTTTCATCCTTTGACTCAATGTTCATTGCTTTTGTAATTCTTGTTTTGTATTTTTCTTGGGGTTTTGTGACACCACACTGCTAATCCCACTGGTGGATTTTGATGGGTGTCTTAGGGGATCCGACTTGAGGTCCTCAAGCAGTGGTTGGTTGGCTCTTCCTGGCTGGCATAGGCCGTGCTTTTTAACTTTTTTAAAACCTTCTAATTCAACTGCTCTTTGTTTTTCAGCAAATGTTAACAAATGATTGTAAGTCGTGACAAACTGTCTTTCTTTTCTTAAAAATCTGCATGTCTTAAGGGAGTTTTGTTTCTTTCAGTAATATTTTGATAATTGATAATGACTAATTTTAATTTTTCGCTTTGTGCAGCCTTTTTGTACTCGCTGCGTATTTTTGGCTTTCTTCAGCAGAAGACTTTCTTGAAAACCCAGCCTGGTTTTTTTTGAGCGTACCTATCTTTTGCGCCACTTTTGATACCAAAATGGAACAAAACAAAACAAAAAAATTAATCTTTTGTTTTATTTAAAAGCCATACTTCCTTGAAGCAGTCTCACCCATCTTCATTTTATTAGTCTAGGAAATAAGAGTGTTAATTATGACTAGAAGTCTTGCTTGGGAAAAAGAAATATTGTTTTCTTATGCTAGCATTGATGATGTAAAAATAAATAATCTCTATATGTTTTTCTCATCGCATCATTTTCTGTCTGTGCACCTTAGCGAGAGATTGAGTCGACGCTGAGCGGACCTTCGCTTTGCAGGGCTTTTCATATTGTTAAGAGGTTTTGCTTCCTGAACTGAAAAAGCCTCCTCTGACCATCTCTTTGGCAATATATTTTATATCCATACAGGAGCCCTTCAGATCGAACAGAGTGAAGAATCTGACCAAGGAAAATATGAGTGTGTTGCCACCAACAGCGCGGGCACTCGCTATTCTGCCCCTGCCAATTTATATGTCAGAGGTAGGAATGACTCAGCCCTGGCATTGCTTCTTCATTCAGGCTCAGGGGGAGTTAAGATACCCATAGGGTCCATGTTATGTCAGTATTGAAAATAATGATTTGATGATAGCCATTGTAGCTGAAGCATTTAATAAATATAGAATTTAAATATTTAAATATACCACTTCTATCCCGAGGCTGAAGTTTGTAAGTATAATTGCATTTGCACATTTTGACTTCTCCTTTTACTGCATTGATTGAACTGTGCTTTGCATTTGTTGGAGGTTTTCCTCTTTTTCTTTTTTTCTGTTGTTCCTCTTCTGCTCTCTTACCAAACCCTGAAATAATTTCTCAGTGTGCTACTAACAAGTTTTCTGTGCAGCTCTAAGCGTAAAGGTGTTTGTGTCTTTATGACCACTGCTGCCAAGCTATAAGGATAAAACCACTGTTTAAAACAATGGGTGCTAAATTTAGTTAGCATAATTGTCTTTTCCTGCATCTTTTGATATTTTCTTAATTTCATAATACAGTATTATATATATATGCATATACTTATATAATATACATATGCATGCACCTATATGCACATATTTCGTTGTTTGAATTATTGACTTACTGAAAACTTTAATCTTTTCATAGCCATGAAACACTGTATTTATAAAAATATTAGTTGTCCTTGGAACCAAAATGATTTATTAGGATACATTCATATTTTCTCTTAAAGTAATAGAAATGATTATATTTTGAGTCTCTGAATGGCAGCACCTTTCAGTTCAACCAGACAGAAGTACTTCTGCAGGAGTTCTCAAAACGGGTTCCTGTAGTGTTTTGTCCATCGGACACATGCTTATTCCTGGTCTCCTTGTCTGTGAATAACCACAAAAGTTGGGGGTGGGGGTGGGGGTGGGGGTGGGGATACATAAAAGACCATGAGGGCATTAAATTACAATAGGGTGGGCTTCCCTTAAGAAAATATCTAGCTTGATTTTGAAATTTTGGTTAGAAATAGTTTTTTCCCCTGGGGGGATGATTTTCCTTTTTTCATTCTATGGAGACTGGAGGGAGGGGGCGGGGGAGGGGGCAGAATGACAAACATGGTTTCTTTCCTTAATTCTTTGAAAACCCCTGGATCCCATTTCTCACAATGGCGTCCTCCTTTGCTGCATGAGGCATGTGTACCTTCTTCCATGGAAAATTTCAAAATGATGCTAGCTATTGTTTCTAATACCGTGTTAGTCCGCGAGGTATTGCTAATTTTTCAAGTGAGGCAGGAAGGTTAATTAGATTAAATAAAATGTTCAAGTAGCAGTTGAAAGCCTTGATATGGCCTTTTTACTCTCTCTGTGTTTCCCTTGTTTTTCTCCTTTCCTCATTTCATTGTGTTCTGCATCAAACCCCCTACATCCCTCAGAGCTGCGAGAAGGTTGGTGTGTTTTTTACTTTTTACCCACCTTACAAAACTATTACTTAAACCAATAACAAAGAATACAAATGAAATGAATGTAGCTGCATTGTGGTCTTCTTTTGGTTAATGGTATGTTTTAGCAGAGAATGCTCTGGCCATGGCTTCCGGTGCTTGCTGGTGACGTCTAACTGTGGTGCATGATGGGAGAGAATGTAGCTGGGTGCATGGTAACTGGTAACACTTAACTCTCTAAGGTCCAGTGAACTTGGTCAGTGTTCCTGCTTTCCTCCTGCTCCACTCTTCCCGTCTCCCACCCCACCTTTAATTTCTGTCTTATAAAAATGCCTGCTGCCCATAGAATGACTTTTTATAATTGTTCCCCTAATTCCAAGCATGAAGACTAAACTCTCCTCCATTTTTCTTGACATGTTCTTCAACACCTCAGAGTCTACACTGGCTCCTGCTTGCTTTGTGTAACCTCTGTGAATTGGCTGCAGGAGGCATGCTTAGCTCTCTCTTCTTCTCCTGTAACTGTCATTCACCCACGAGGCCATTGCAGTGAGCCCTCTCAAATCAACAGAGGTTTAACTCAATCTTAAGTGCAGCCAAAAAGTTTTCAGATAGAGTTACTTACTTATCTTCTTCGGGTTATGAAGTTGTTTGCTTTTCAGTATATTTATAGTTTTAAAATCAGTTTATGATCTGTATCAAAGGTTTGTTCCTAAAAGATTACCCTCTTTATCTGAAATTCTCATGGTGTAATGTTTTGCCAATAAAAGCCCAAGATGAATCCCATTGATCTCTCACTCTTTCATTGTACCATATTCAAGACATGTGTATGTAAACACACATAAACCTGCAGTTTATCTGAAGCAGGAACACTGAACTGTAATCGCTTGGTAATTTCTTCTGTGTTATTTTGCTTTAATATGATCTCTTCTCTTAATGTCCTGTCCCACTGTGTGTTTTAGAACTGATGTCCTTCAGTTTGAATGTGGGCATAAAAAGCCTTGTATTTGATTTTGTTGTCATTTATGTTGTTCTGCCTCAGATGTGAACTGAATGGAATCCTGAGTGTGCAATACCCAGCTCCCTTCCGAAATTTGCAATCCTTTCTTTACCAGCTCCACTTAATCTAATATCTTCCAACTTTCAGCCCTGTCATCCCCTAAACCTTTGTCCCAAGCACTGTACCTTATCTCCCACCTTTGTGTTTAGTTCTATGTCCTCATTATTCCTTCTGCTGTTATTGTTTTAAATTCCAGCCATTGCCCCATAATCCTTAGCACGGGCCTTGAGATTCCATCTTGTGCATGCTTTGCATGACCCAATCCAGTATCTCTACTGGTGTTGGCCTGTTTCTTCCTCTGTGACTGTAAATCAATATGTGTGTATGTTTCTGTATTGTTCCAGTGTTAGTGTGAGGTCTTGAGGCTGCATCCACTCTGAACCTGAAAGCAAATAAATTGCACTTTCGGTATACTCTAGGTGGTGTTTTCAGGGCTGAGATGTGATAGTGTGGTATCACGCATACATTCACATCAGCTGGAAGTGCACAGCACTGAACTTGGTTTATATACTCAACTTAAACATGCTGGTGACTTTCCAGCCCCCTTTTCTGCATATACATGCATGCATAGGATCATTGCTATATGCATGCATGTATATGTTTTTGTGTTTATCTTCTGCATGATGTTTGTGTATTGTTAGTTTGTAGATAGTTTTTTTGTGGGGCCCTTGTAGGTCTGAATCAACTTTTGTATGAATGTGTCTAAGATACAAACTACTAAACCAAACAAATTCTTCTGTGTATACACACACCATACTTGTATGGTCTGTATTATCCACAGTTTTTCTTCATGTTTTGTTTTTGGACAATCCACAATATGTTTCAGTTGTTTAATTGTTTCTGTACAGTGCATGTCTTGTGTTTAACAAGCCACCTTTTCCTTGGCTTGTATATGTTATCATCTTCTTTTGTGTTTTGTTCCAGTTCGCCGTGTCCCACCAAGATTCTCTATCCCACCCACTAATCATGAAATCATGCCAGGTGGAAGTGTTAATATCACCTGTGTGGCTGTGGGGTCACCAATGCCTTATGTGAAGTGGATGTTGGGGGCAGAAGATCTGACACCTGAAGATGATATGCCAATAGGAAGAAATGTCCTAGAACTGAATGATGTAAGACAGTCAGCAAATTATACCTGTGTTGCTATGTCTACACTGGGTGTCATTGAAGCAATAGCACAGATCACTGTCAAAGGTAAGCTCAAGGGGTTATGCTTTGGGGGATCTGGGTATACTCAAGCTACCTGACTAATGTGCCTAGAATGTCTGTCCTCAGAATTCTAAAATAATTCAATTCATCATTCATTGTTTCCAACAGATATATCCTGATCGTATCTTTGGTATTATATACACTTGTCTAGGCACTAGGTTCTTTCTTAAAAGCATCAGCATCCTAAGTGGGAATGTTTGCCAAAATATTGTACAAGAGACCAAGTCCAGGCTATAACCAGACAGAATCAGAAATGCTGGGTATGATTGACCTTATGTTTGTTTTTAACCTTTCTGATTGGAAAGAGACTGCCCTTCTTTGGGCTACTCAATAGTTTGTGTGTGTGTGTTTGTGTGTGTGTGTATTTTAAGATTTATTCATTTATTTGAAAGAGTTACAGAGAAGGAGAGGCAGAGAGAGAGATCTTCAGTCTGCTGGTTCACTACACAAATGACCAAAATAGCCAGAGCTGGGCTGATCCAAAGCCAGGAGCTTCTTCCAAGTTTTCCATGTGGGTGCAGGGGCCCAAGGACTTTGGCCATCTTCCACTGCTTTCCCAGGCCATATCAGAGAGTTCAATTGAAAATGGAGTAGCCAGGACTCAAACCAGCGCCCCATATAAGATGCCAGCACTGCAGGCGGCAGCTTTACCCACTATGCCATAGTGCTGGCCTCTCAATAGTTTTAATAGTTTTTTTGAAGATTTATTTATGCCTTTATTTATTATTTGAAAGAGTTATGGGGGAAAAGGGAAGATCTTCCATCCACTGGTTCACTCTCCAAATGGCTGCAACAGCTAGGGCTGGACCAGGCCAAAGCCAGGAGCCCAGAGCTTCATCCAGGACTCCGACATTGGTACAGAGGCCCAAGGACTTGGGCCATTTTCCTCTGCTTTCCCAGGAGCATTAGCAAGGAGCTAGATTGGAAGTGGTGCATCTATGATTAGAACTGGCACCTATATTGGATGCAGACATTGCAGGCAGTGGCTTAACCCACTATGTCACAACACCAGCTCCCATGATTGACTGTTATGGTAGGACTTACGTATACAGGCTTCTTGCTAGTCCAAAACTGTCAGAGTAACCAGAAAAATCCTAATAGGTGATTTTAAATGCATGAAATTCCTGAAAACAAAGTAGAAGGAAGAAAAATATAATTGAAATAAATATTGTGTAAAAATAGATGCTATAAATATGTGATGGGCCCTACAATTAAAAATCAAAATGCAAGTAACATTATATTGTTTGTTTTATATTTCATTTTGCATAGATGAATGCTCAAGAAATACTATCTCTTTGAAATAAATGAACTACATAATCATAAAACAAATATGAAGTACATATTCAATGAATATTTTGAAATAAGAAAAGAATGTGAGGATATAGGAATATCAGTTGTTTTTACCCAGTTTTTCGAAAATTCTAGAAAACTTTGTACAAATTGAGCCAGGCTGAAGGTGTTACCAAGTTTCTACAAATGTCTGGAAGTGTTGAAAAATGAACACAAATTATCCTCTCTTTTTTAATATAAGCGGTATGATCTTAAGAATATGCAGCACACATTTAGTACTTGGTGTTGTATCTACAACCTAGCTTATATATATCAAATGCCATATGAAACCAGTAATGTCACCCAAGAACAGAAGTACACATTGTCAGTACTTACTAGTTGTTTAAAACAGTGTTGAATCACATATCTTTAAAATATAAAGCATACTTGTTTTATTAATGTATTACAGACAGAAAACCTATATAGTGCTATGAATGTGATTTTATGAAACTAACAATGTCAGCTAAATATCAGTAAACAGAACTTTAATTAGCAGGGTTTGTATTTGCCTTGACATCCCGGGGATATCTGGATCACCCATTGCCTTGAAAAATGTCAGGCTACAGTATTTGAACAAATTCTTTTTACTATTTTCAATAAATTCCCTTGGCCAAATATTGTCATTCTATAGTTCTTAGAGAAATATGCAAATATTGAATCACTTTTTTTCATAATAACCATTTCAGCTTTAAATATTTGAAGGTTAGCTGAAGACCTTCAAGAATTCAAAAGCAGGGATCCTGTTCACCTTCTTATCTTTGTTTTCCTGATGCGTGCTACTTCCTTACCCTTCCCACCTCAAAAATAAATAAAACATCAGGGTAAAGCTTAAAGGCAATAGATAAATAAATCAAAAGGAAAAGAACAGATTGAAGAGAGTGAGGAGAATGGATTCTCACTCTTTGATTTAGTCAGTAATTTAGTGATTCTCATTAAAAACCTACTCAGTGTAAGGTAATGGTCTAGGCATTGAAATATAGCAGTAAGTAAGAAGCACAGTGTTTTGCTCTCAAAGCTGCCATTCTAGGATGTATATATGTTCTGTGTTTATATTGACAAGGAAACCAGGGATACTACAGGCCCATTTGTGTGAGTGGTACCTTCTGTGTTTTTTCTGTAAAAATCAGCAAATAGGATTCCCCTTTCTATGACTTTATCCTTGCCTTTCAGAACTAGTCCATACTAAGGCACTTAAATATGAGGCCATCAATGTAGATGCTTTGTATTGTTTATCAGTAGCATTTTGAATTGTTTTGAGTGTAAGAAAATCATTGATTCTCTAGGTCAATTTAATTGCAAATGGTTGTGAAGTAGCTAGAATCTCAGATATTTCTGTTGTTGAGTCTAAAATTTTCATATAACAATAAAATACTTTAAAAGTGATTGTGAATATGAATTAATGTAATTCCTTCAATATTTTTACACATTAAGAAAAAATTTGATTTGAAATGATTAATATTTTTTACCTAAAATTCTTCTTTAGGTTATTTGTTAACAAGATTTCAGCAACTTTACCTGTATCTCACTGCTGGAAAAGAATATGAACACTATTTTATAGCAATTTAATTGCACTTCAGTATATTCCAAACTTTGTTCTTATCAATGTTTAATAGTTTAGGGTTAGATTATTTATTTTTTAAAGAAAGGGGTTAACTGACAAAACTTTTTCTATAATAATAGTAATAATTGCAACTAATTTTTTGAGGTGCCCATCTATATTCTAAAAGCATTGCTAGATTAGCTCACAATTAGATTAGCAAACCCATGTGTGATACAGCCTGAGTAATACTATTTTTTTTTTCATTTTTTATGTGAGAAAATTAAATCCAAACAAGGTTAAGCAATTCATCCAGGGTCACTTAAATAAGTAGTGAATTTGAATATAAGACTAAACGTTTGTTATCAGAACATTGTTGTAAAATGGAATTTATGTATTTTATTGCACTCCTTGACCATTTAAGAAACTTGTTGGCTATAGTGCCATCTGATGAAATCTCCAGTAGATATGCAATGCTGTGACCCAATAGCAGTTTATCAGCCCTTGCAAGATCATTGTTTCTTCTTCTCCCCCAAGCCTTACCCAAACCTCCAGGAACTCCAGTAGTGACTGAGAGCACAGCTACAAGCATTACACTGACATGGGACTCTGGGAACCCTGAGCCGGTCTCTTACTACATCATTCAGCATAAACCTAAGAACTCTGAGGAACCTTACAAAGAAATTGATGGGGTGGCGACCACACGCTACAGTGTTGCTGGACTAAGTCCCTACTCAGATTATGAATTCAGGGTTGTTGCTGTCAATAACATTGGGCGAGGACCTCCCAGTGAGCCTGTGCTAACACAGACCTCAGAGCAAGCTCCATCCAGTGCCCCGAGGGATGTCCAAGCACGCATGTTGAGTTCAACCACCATTTTGGTACAGTGGAAGGAACCTGAGGAGCCAAATGGACAGATCCAGGGATACAGAGTATATTATACAATGGATCCCACTCAGCACGTCAATAACTGGATGAAACACAATGTAGCTGACAGCCAAATCACCACAATTGGCAACCTTGTGCCCCAGAAAACATATTCTGTCAAAGTGCTGGCTTTTACCTCAATTGGAGATGGTCCTCTCTCAAGTGACATACAGGTCATCACTCAGACGGGAGGTAAGTCTACTTCAGCCTGGAACACAGGGCTGGAAGGAGGAGTTGGTGGTTAAGAGGGCAAAGGGCCTTTTCATGGGTTTTGAATTTTGTGATTTAGGATTTCAAAGTGAGAAATTATGATAAGAGACCAAAGAGGTAATGGGCATCTGAAAAACTCACAGTTTCAGCAGTGGAATACATTTAGTACCCTTTCTTTTGTAGTTTGTAGAAATGACTTGAAGACTTCACTGCACAGGATGAGTGGATGCCTCCTCCTCACACTATTTTGAGAACAGAAAAAAAAAACTATACTTCTTTATACTAGTGACTCTGTTAGCATAATCCCCTGCAAATATTTAATTTTTGTAAGATTGCAGGGTTTAAGAGTAAAGTTAGGAATAAAACTTTGTCACAGAGCTTTGGGTATTTAAATTGCTTTGACTTGCCAGAAAGTTACTTGCTTAAAAGTAAATACATTCTGAATGTATTTGATTTTTGTTTCTCTTTGTATGGCTCCAGTAGACAAGGAAAGCCACGTGTGGCCCGACTCACTCATCTTCCTAGGTGCTAGAGCAGATGCCAAACTGTTTTTTGAAGAAAAGCTTGGCCCTTCCAGTGGTTTTATTTTCATGAAGGGATGTCGAACTTCTTTGGTCTTTGATTCAAAATGATCAGTTTTGCCTTTGTGGGAATATGAAATATCAGGATTCTGTTATAGTTTATTCTTGAGCATCTGAGTACTACTTGTTTGACTGCTATTTGTATTGGCCATTTTTAAACTTGCATCAGTCTCTGAGTGTTTGGGCATGAGGCCATTGGCTTATTCTGAGAGTCTACCTAAGAACTGTATTATTGGAGACAACATCTATAATCTATGGATGTAACTCATAGCTAATTCCAGCAATAAATTAGTGAATTTTCTGGAGTGTCAGAGCTAGATGATGCACCCATTACAGTTCGTACATACTTGTATTTCACTGCACCGCTGACTTGTTTTCATGTCATGGACTTTATGAATGTCCAGACTCCGTAGGTTTACCTTTTTGTCCTCATTGCTTAGAAAACTCTGATAACATTTATAGTTCACCTGGCTTTTTTTTCTTACTGTCATTTGGTTCTCCTACGCTTGTTTGTAGATTTACTATTTCCACACTATATGAATGCTAACTATAGAAATATATATTTCAACACAATCATACTAAAAACATACATATATCTTCCCGGCTTGGCATTTCTAGTGCTCATTATTTATTTGGTTTGTTAAGATCTAGAAAAATACTTTCAACTAATTTTACCATAAAGCCTTCTCGTTGGAAAATGTAGAAATCTATGAGTGTTGTTCTATTTTTTCTTGACTAAAAGTAGTCAATTGCTAGGTTTTTTTAATGATAATGTTACAGCAGCTCCATAACCGTGAAAAATTATAAGAAATTATATTTGAGTTTTCTTATTTTTTATTTGTAATGCTTTTAAAATCCCTAACATTAGAGAAACATAACTAGGGTCTGAATTCCAAGCTACTGTTGGTTAACTGTGTGGCCTTCGGTGAGTTACTTCATCTCTCTCAACTGGAGATCTCTCATCTGTAATACTAACCAACTTACCGCGTTTTGTAGTTACATCTATTCCTAGGGATGTTGTACCAAAATGCCATGTAATAAGTGGTTTAAATGATACGTGGAATGTTCTTTGGCCTACAAGTCTAAAACCAAGGTGTTGTTAAGGTTGCTTCTTTCTAAGGCTATGAGGGAAAATATTTTCCATGCCTCCCCCTCGCTTCTGGTGGTTTGTTGGCAATATTTGTTGTTCCTTGCATATCCCACCACAACCCTCACAGGAGCGGTCTGGCAAACCGCTACCTGTCCCCTGGAGGCAATTTGCAGTTCACTGTCCATTTTGACACTAATGGTTTTTCTTCATTTCTGCTGGGCACGGGTACCAAGCCCCAACCAGCTCTCCTGCACTCTCTCCAGGGGTCACTTAACAAGCAGAACAAAAGGTACGGAGCAAGTCCAACTTTTTGCTGTTGCTCACACATTAAAAAAATTAATGATAATCAATAGAAAGCCTTCATTTTCAGCTGCCACCAAAAGCCACGCACAAGTAGTCCCAATCCTGAACCTGAGGAATTAATTATCTGATTTCTGAGGGGTTGTTTCTCTTTTTTCAATAACCTTAATTTTCTGAGGATTTTTTTTCAAGGTCAGTGCGCTGCATAAATGTTGTTAAAACATGAAGGGACATTTTCAGTTATGGAGTAAACCTGGGTTTTGTAGAGATGGGGATGACTACAATTCTTATCTGATTGTCAGCTTCCCATTGTTGGAGATGGGTGGAATGGGACCTTTCCCCTAGACATGCCAGCTCTCAGTTCTCCCTGCACGTCTGCTAAATCTGATGGTGGCACGGGAGGGCCAGGTTCCTGGGGACATTCTTCCCTTCCTAGCTTCCCTCCTTTCTGACTTCTGCAGGTGTTTGCTACGTGCTTCCTCCCCTGTGCCAGGACTTCCCTAGACCCTGAGTAGGCCCAAGATCCTCATGCCAGCACCTCTAAGATGTGCAGTGGAAGAAGCCCAGGGCCAGTCTCCTTTCTTCCTCTCTTCCTTTCTGCTCCACCCCATCATTTCCACAGACTAAACAACCAAGCTGGGCTTTGGCTTCACACATTATCTGCTTTCAGATAAACAAGTACCTTTATGGAAGCGTCCCACCTGCTGGCAGGGCAGTCCTGGGCTCCTCTAAAATTTCCAGCTCCTCAAAGCCCAGTAGGGTGACAAAAGCCTCAGGAGAAGCAATGGAAGCAGTATCTTTGAAACTTTGGTGGGCAGGAGGCCAGAGTGCAGGGCTGACACTTAAATGAGAATGAATCCACTGATCAGCTTTCAGCTGTAGCCCAGGTTCACATCACTGGGTTGAGGAGGTGGGGAGGTGCTGTTCCTATTCAGGAATGAGATTCATCTGGGGTTTTTGCACAGAGACTTGTGCCCCATTGAAAGAAGAGGGAAGACTCTCAACTTGACCTGAGGTCATCCAGCCCAGTAAGTGCTCTGACTCTGGAGGGGAGGGAACATTCCCTTGTGTTATATTTCTGCAAAAATGATTTTCTTAGAGCATCCCTGGTTGTCCCATCTGTCATCTGTCTGCAGGGGACCAGAGGAGCCCTTTTTTCATGTGAGACCTTCTCTTGGAAGTGAAAGCCCTGTGTGCTAGCTAGTGTAGAAGCATCATTTGATCTCCTCCTTCATCTTTGCCTGGCATTCCCTCTATAAGCTTGACTGTATCCAAATTTTCCTTTTTGTAAGAACACCAGTCATAGTGGATTAGGGCCTACCCTAATGACCCAGTCTTAACAAATTTCATTTACCATGACACTATATCCAGTTTAGGTCACATTCTCGTGAACTGAGTGCTATGATGATTTTTTTGTGGGATGGAGTTAAAACTCATAACTGGTTTAGATTAGATAATGGATAGAAACATGTTATAACTTAGTAAATATAATACAACATTATAGCAACTAATATATGCCAGGCACTGTGCTATGAACTTTGCATGCATTAATTCTCACATTTCGAGTAGTTAGTTAAACATGGAATTTTTCCATTTGTTACTAAGTAAGTTTAGGATCAAAGAGAAAAGAAAAAGATTCAGGAACTTGTCTTGGGCCATAAGGTTAATAAATGGAAAACTAGAATTTAAATTGAAGGCATTGGATATTCATAATTAGGATTACCTTTCAAAATAATAATTTGTAATGTGATAGTTTTAGTGCTTTTAGCAGGAGAGAAAAATACACTGTGTCATTTGTTTATATTTTATTTAAGAATTATGTATTTAGGACAGCTTTTAGAACTTCCCATAGCAAAACTACATTAAAATATATAGATAAGAAAAAAAATTCATCTGAAAGAAATTGAAAGAGTAATTTTTTTAAAAGATTTATTTATTCATTTGGAAGTCAGAGTTAGAGAGAGAGGAGAAGCAGAGAGAGAGAGAGAGAGAGGTCTTCCATCTGATGGTTCACTCCCCAATTGGCCGCAATGGCCAGAACTGCACCAATCTGAAGCCAGGAGTTTCTTCCCGGTCTCCCACGTGGGTGCAGGAGCCCAGGGACTTAGGCCATCTTCCACTGCTTTCCCAGGCCATAGCAGAGAGCTAGATCAGAAGTGGAGCAGCCGTGTCCCGAACTGGTGCCCGTATGGGATTCTGGTGCTTCAGGCTAGGGCATTAACCTGCTGTGCCACAGCGCTGGCACCAAGAGTAATATTTTTTATAGAGGGCTTTTATACTCAATCACCAAATTTGACCCTGAGCTTTACAACTCTCAGTTTAAACATAGAATTATATAATATTTCATATCTTTATTTTCTGATGATGAGAAATTTTAGCTAAGAGCGTATTTCCTAAAATTCACCCATTACACATGAATCCTCGAATCAAAAGAATCGTTGATTTTACAATACTTACTGGTGAAGTACAGAATGTTGGAGCTTTTGAAGGGAGGAACTAGGATCACTTAGATCATTTCTCTCTTTTTTTTTTTTTTTTTTGACAGGCAGAGTGGACAGTGAGAGAGAGAGAGAGACAGAGAGAAAGGTCTTCCTTTGCCGTTGGTTCACCTTCCAATGGCCGCTGCGGCCGGCGTGCTGCGGCCGGCGCACTGCGCTGTAGATCATTGCTCTTACTGAGACAATAATTTGGGCATAGCTGATGCCCAATATTTATAAGCAATGTAAATGAATGTACATATGAACTCTGGAAGAGGCAATATGGTACAATAAGGAGAGTAAAATTAGGTGTTTGGTTTGTGTGATGATGTTAACACTTCCTGGCTGCAGATTTTGTTAGGCCATAATTATAATTTGGTTCATAATTTGGTTAAATTCTCAGGGCCCACTGTTATAGTGTGTTTGCAGTACTTTAAAACATGGGCTTTTCTGGCCGGCGCCACGGCTCACTAGGCTAATCCTCCGCCTTGCGGCGCGGGCACACCAGGTTCTAGTCCCGGTCGGGGCGCCGGA